ATGCTCGGTTTGTAAGCGATGAGCATGGTGCTCAATCGTGTAAGATAAAAAAGGGGAGCTACGTCGGTCCGATGGGAAGGAGAGAATGGGAGAAGCAACGCGAGAGAGCCACTCGAACAGGTTTCCCGCACGAAAGACTGTTTTTGCGAACTGGTTTCTGACGGAAGCAAATAGAGTGTTGTATTTGGTGAGTGTTAGGGCTTTTAGGTGGTATAACAATAAAAAGTGAAGTTTGGATGTGAGATGTGTAAATACAAGTATTTTGAGTGTTAGGTATGTAAAAATCCTTTATTTGTTTTGCATCTAATTAATACGTTGTCTATTTTTGAAATACAAGTCATTCTATTTAACCAAACAGAGAATAATAAGACTTTCATTATTTTTTTGAATGATTACTTGTAACTTCTAGCTTTCGCCACCAGCTTTTTCTTACTTTATGATATATATTTCAGGATTTGATGAATGATGAGGAGACAAAACAGGAAATTGGCTCTCTAATTTGAATAATTAGCTTCATTTATGTGGGGTGCGGGATAGGGGTGTTAATTTCGGGTCACGGGTCGGGTTCGGGTCGGACCCGGAACTGACCCGGGTTCAAACGGGTCGACCCTAACCCGACCCGGTTAGGCAAACGGGTCGAAAATCCGAACCCCAACCCGACCCGGCGGGTTGTCGGGTTGACCCGACACGGAACCGATTGCGGCCTCGGACTCAGACTGCCTGTTTCGGGTCAAACGGGTTGACCCGGCAACCCGTCGGGTCAACCCGAACCCGACCCGTTTTTCAAACGGGTCGATTTCTGGAACCTGAACCCGACCCGTTTTGAAATCGGGTCGGGTCCAACCCGAATTTTTCGGGTCGGGTCCGGGTCGTGTTTTCGTGTCGTGTCAAATATTGACACCCCTAGTGCGGGATGGTTGCAGCTGAATCTAGAAGTAGATATAAAATTATTTTTTTAAAAAAAAGAGAGTAGTGTGAAAGATTTGTATATTTTCTCCCTATTTTTTATAGAACATTTCTTGTTGTGATGTGGTTATGTAATTTTTCTCATTTTTGAATTTTCTACCTAAATTCTTACAACTTTCTTACAAACTCTATTATATATACATCTATATACTTATTTTGATTAAGTAGAACATAATACAACAATATTTTATTATAATTGTTATACTTGATAATGGTATACTTCCCTTACCCTAATCCAACCGTAAGTTATACCTTCGCAATCTACTTCACGTTTCTTCCTTATCTCACAATCTACTATCAATTCATAAACTAACTGCTGAAAACAACTGCTCCATTTCTTTTGATTCATTCGATTTTCACATAAAGGATCTCCAGAACATCCAAACAATTCTTCGTGGTAGGAGCCAAGACGGTTTCTACCCTCTACCGATCTGCTCTTCCAGTTAGCACAACCGTGCTCTTCAATCCATCTACACCTCCAATCAACTGTGGCATGCCCGGCTAGGACATCCACATCAACTCATCTTGCACACTTTAGCTAAACTAGACTCATCTTTCAGTTTTTCTGTAATCTCTGTGGTTTGCAAATTTTGTAATATGGCTAAAATCCATAAACTATCCTTTATCAATATAACAAATGATGTAATTGCTCCCTTTATGCTAATCCATACCGATGTTTGGGGTCCAGCACCTATGTCATCTCTTAACGGTTACAAATACTACGTAATATTTATAAATGATCATACTAGATTTTGTTGGCTCTATCTCATGGACACCAAAGCTGAAACCTTCTCCAAATTTCAGCAGTTCTCAATTCTAATTCAAAATCAATTCAACAAAACCATTAAAACACTCCGCTCAGACGGAGGCGACAAATACACAAGTGTTCAATTCAATCAATTTATTTCAAACAATGACATTATACATCAATTTAGCTAGCCCCAGACCCCCGAGCAAAACGGACTAGCTGAAAGGAAACACTGACATCTGCTTGAGACAACCTGAAACTATTACTAGCAGCTCATCTCCCTCACGGCCAATTACCTCATAAATAGATTACCCACCAAAAGCCTGCAACCCTCAAATCTCATTCCAACTCCTCTACAATCACCCACCATCCTATCAACACTTTCGTACTTTCGTTTGTCTGTGTTTCCCGTGGTTAAAACATCAAGCACCGAACAAATTATCGCCACAATCTCTCGACTGCAAACTCATCGCATACTCTCCCACTCACAAAGGGTACAAATGCTATAATCACAAAACTAACAAAACTTACATCTCTAGACACGTGGTCTTCCACGAAAACATCTTCCCCTTCCAAAGTATTGATATATAATTAGTTTTCACTAACTTCTTCGGTTGAGGAGAACTTGGTCACTTCTTTTATTTTATTTTATTTTTTATAATTTGGTTGATAAAAAACTGAGTTAAAACAATGATTTGATAAATTGTTCTTTTTATTTTTTATCAGAATTTTTGTATTATTAAATTGAAGTAATTAATTTGAAATTATTAAATAAAATTCATTTACTTTTCCTCTCATATATGCCTGTCTGCTTTTAGTTAATTAGTAATGTATTGTAAATTTATGAATATTTATTATCATCAACGGATTGTTATCGTGTGATTATCATTGTCTAAATGTCATCATTTGACTGTTGTCATCCGATCATCATAATCTAATTATCGTCATCCAACCATCATCAACTGATTGTCATCTTCACCTGACTAGCACCTCAACTATTATATCTTCAGCATTTTTTTAATATTTACAGAAATACAAAGTTATAATGTAAAGTCTTCTCCAATTTATAAAGAGAGTACTCTTGTAAACAAATATGCATAATATATCATTTAATGTGCATGGGTCAAGTCCTATTGATGTCTTGGATCGTTGAAAGAATTAGACATGCCTGAAGGGATTTTCAATCCAACGATAAACACAAAGCTTATAACCTAAATATTATATATATTCATTTAATCATAAGAGTTTGCAGATGCTGTGGCCCCTTTTGTTGCTGAGATACTGATATTGTTTGCTTGTTCTGGTTTAAGTTATTTTCTATCATGTTGTATTTTCTTTATTTTTTTGTTCGCTTGATTGTATTTAGTTGGATCATTAGCACATAGGTTTTATTTCAAAAATTATATTTTTTATGCTTTAAAATATGTACTTTTATCTGTTATGAAACATGTAAGCCCCTAAAAAAAAAAGAGTTTGTCAATTGTTAGAGGTCTTTGACCCCACAATGGTTCCAATTTGGATGATCGAACTCTGCCGTGATCCACGGAGCAACATACACCATTCATGATTGGATCACCAAAAGGTCAAAAAGAAGAGGTCGCACAGAAGCCATGATTAATTTATGCATGATTACTGCTATGGGAATGCGATGTTATCTCAAGCACGCAATATCTGAATTGCCAAAGAGAGACAAACTTGGCAAGGAAGGAAGGCACGCAGCTCCAACTTTCACCATGACTTACGGTGGAAGGAAATCCATCAATGAATGGAGGAGGAAGCAGCTTCTAACTACAGCCGGCCTGCAGGTCAAGAAAAATTTCGGAACAGCTGGAGGAGCAAAATTCAAAGATCAGAGACCCGCACTTACGATTGTCGGTGAGCTTAAGTGGACATCCACCAGCTAATTTATTCAAATATTAAATTTAAATTCAAAATTATGTATAACTAAGGTTTCTAGATGACTTTTTTTTTTTTTTACTTCTTAAAACAACTTTTTATTATAAAAATATTAATTTTTTACTAAATAGCTGCTTTAAGAAGCAATAAAAAAGCCGTCCCAAACGAGATTAATTATTCTGTGCGGATGCCGAACGCCGTCCGGAGACCAACAAGAATACGCCACATCACCCATTCGCTATGTACTGCAGCTCGGTACCGCTAATGTGGCTGCACTTGATTCGCCTCCGAACATAGAACTATGTCCAGCCTCCACATAGAATAATTTCTTCCCAAACCAAACCTAATTTGCTAATTTATTTGATTATATTCCAAGAGCAATGCTATTTAAGTCAATTTGACCTACATTAATGCCAGTCTTAAGTATGAATGAAAAAAGTTGAAGAAATATTTGAAAATTTTAATTTTGTACTCTTTAGGTAAATTTTCTGGTTCCGCCACATTGTTAATGACTATAAAAAGTATTCTGAAAATTATTATGAGTAGTTTTTTTTAAGAATTTTTTAAGCTTGATGATAATTTTTTTATAATATCACACACATGATCTCCACAAAAATTATTTTTAATTACTGAAAAAAGTTGCTAACATAATTATGCAAATATTTGAAAAACATAAATGCCTAATATAATCTCTAATACTCAAAATTTTCGATTTGAAATTATAATTATCTTTATTTTATCAAAAAATAGAATACTTCACATATAAATAAAATATTTGAAAATTTTAAATTTTAATACTTTAATAAATAGTCTTTAACCATATTAACTTTAAAATTAAAACTAAAACAAAACATAAAAAGCAATTTTCTTTAGGATAAGCTTCTTTTTCTAAGCCGCGGAGTTGCAGAAACGGATTGCCCCAACCATCGTCAGCCCAGGCTGGCACCCCTACGTGGGTCCGATTCTATTGGAAAAACATCGGATAAGAATATTTTGACTATATGATCAGCAGCTTTATTGACTGAAATTTGTCAGATTAGTTCTTAAAATTCTTTACTTATGATTAATATAATATATAATTAATTAATTAAATTTATAAATTTTTTTTAAAAGCAATTTAATGGCTTTAGATTCATTTTGATCAAATTTAAAATTCATTTAGGACAACTTTCTAATTACTTTAGTTTTTAAACCGCCATCATTATACAAATATTTAAATTTCTGTAATTTTAAATAGTTTTTAAAAGGTATGAAAAATAAAATTTTAAAATTATATATTTTGCACTTATAAATAAATTCATAAATTGTAAACCAAGCTGCCCAAACTCAACAGTGGCAAAATGGCAATATTTCCTTTAGGCGTTAACTGTGCTAAATTAAGGCCGAGATTTCTCTATATAAACGCCGGAATCGAGCGCCTTCTTCCGCCGTGGTGCTGGGGCATTTTCTGGCTTTCCTTGAAGCGAAGTCCTCCTCCGTCTCTTCATTTTGGGATTCGAAGCTCGGCGAGAGCGGCCTAGCTTGTTGTTAACCATCAATGGCGACCAAGATTTATATCGTGTAAGCATTCTCCTTCTCTATCTATTCTATTTTGGCTATGTATAACTTTTACCAAGCGGCGATTTTTTTATTCATATGGAAGATAGATCAATCGATCGAGTTCCTTTTTTGTGTGTTTTCTAAATTCCTTGATCCTTCTTATATGGAATTTTTATATCAACTGTGCGATGTTTAAATAGAAGGTTCCTAGGTTTCTTAATTGTTGGAACACTTGTTGGAAATGTCTAATAGTTGTTGTGATTCAAAAATTTAATTGTTGTCCTCTTTCGGAAATTTTTATTTCCATATAAAATCTTAAATCATTATAGTGTGCAACTGTGCATAGCCAGAGCTATGAATAACTTCGAACTTTAGAGGATATTTGATTATTCTAGTGGTTTAGTAAAGCAGTGAATACAATCAGTGCTACTTTTTCATGAGGTTTTGGATTTTTACCTGTTATGCAGGTAATTGGCTCAAGCAGTGAAAAAAGTCGGAGATAGTTTAGCAGTATGAAGAGGGCTATCTTTGTTGTATGGATTGTAATGCAACTATTGCTATCTATTTTTCTGTTGGAAAATCAATTCGTAACTCTGCAGTGGAGTAAAGTGAATTGTACTCTACTATTTTATAACAGAATCTGAAAGAACCAAGAAACGCATTTTGAGAACCATAATCTTTTGACGTTTCAGTCTTTGCTGGTGGGATTGATACCCATGGTACCCGTTAATATGTCCAGTATGTTACTATAGCAATCTAATGTGCTTCTTCACGTTATTTTTTTAAAGTTATTGCTTGATAACCTCAAGTCCTTTTAAAAAAAAGTTTGTTTTTAAGGAAATACTTCTTGTTGTCCAACTAGGAGTTGTCCCCTGCTCACAGTATTCATGATTATTTTGTCGGTTGCATAACTCTAATCGTGATAATTTATATAATATAAGTTGTTTACATGGTAATGTGAACCAAATCCGCCTGATAGCATAAATAGAAGTATTATGATACCAACTTTATCTGATGATTATGTTGGGAAAGACTTATGGAGTCGGTAGGATAATGAAGGCTTTATGTGAAAGATAGGGTGTTGAAAGCCTTTGTGTTTTCTTGAAATATTCAAAAAATTAAAGCTATGTTTGATGAGGATTAGGCTTCTAAGGTATCCCAATGTAGAAGCCTTAATGTGTTTAGGTAGGTGAGATTATTGGGCTAATAATCCCACGTCAGATAGTTGAAAAAATATGTTGGGATTGAAATATCTAAAGGTAGGCCCTCATCAACAGGCATAAAATTTTGGTTAAAAATGAGGTTAACTTTTGTGTATTAAGCCCAATTTACCCCCTTTTGTCCGTATTCCATAACAAGTTTTAGAAGAGCTGAAGGTTTGGCTAGCTGCAACTCTTTCATAAAATTTATAGTTATGATGGGTCTTAGTACCTTCCATCATGGTTGAGTAAGGGTTAAGAGTAGGTGAGTCTAATGCCGATATAATAGAGTAAATTGGGTTTTTATTGTATGATGCTTGATGATGTTGAAAATCTTTCATTTGAGGGAGAGTGATAGTTGATATAAAGAGCTATCATATAATGAAAATATTATTACGACTTATGAGAATATTGGATTTAATCTTATATTGGATAGTTGACCATGTATTTTGGTTTTGAATTATCAATTAGTTGGTCTTCACCCATAGACAAGCTTTTGAATGTTTTACTCATAGTGTTATCAAACATTATAGAAAAATAATGGTGTTTTTTGGCTGAAAATCTAGCAAGAAAGCACTAAAATCCATTAGTAACCTTGTTTGATAAGGCACCAGTAAACACCAAGTAAAAGAGAAGAAAAACGTAGGAACACCAAGATAGGGCTAATTTTTGGGCTTTCTCTTCAATAATGAAGCAATATACAATTGATCTACTATTCGAGAGGTGGATCAGTTCTCCCACAAACCTAGATGCCGCTAGAAACTCACAACAACACTAGGAAAATAAAACTCAGCAATAGTATGAACGAAATCCTAGACAACTCTCTCTTAAATAGCCATAGAACACAATAACATAAATAGAACTTTCATAATAAGCATAAACATAATTTAGGAAACCTTCCTAAATAAGTAGGCCTTTCCTAATTAGCCTAAGTATAATTTTGGAAACTTTTCTAATCAATTGGTAGCATAAAAACATTTCTAATTATTTTCCTTCCTTACATAGTGAACACAACAGCTTCTTGAAAGAGAGGGAGAGATATAGAGAGAGGGGAGGAGAAAAGTGAACACAACTCTTATTAATATGGCAACCCTCTATTACAACCTATTATAATTATTTATAGACAAAATGGGCTATATCAATGGCAATACACTAAAAATGCCTAAAGAAAGTACAAACAAGAAATAACCTAAAATCTGGACCAACAAACCAACACATTCATGAGAAAGCTGAAAGCTTAGTATAGAAATGGTGAAGTGAAGAAGAGGAAGAAACGTATAAGAGCAGAGGATGATTTCATTCTATTGCAGCTTAATCTACTACAGTATTCTTTATATAGATGATTGAATTATAGCTCTTACTAAATGGACAATATTCCTTGCTGTAATAGTGGTGGTGATGCACTGAGCAGTTGCCTGATCAGACTAGGAGAGTGGAGGTAATTGCATAAGGTAGTGGCGGCATAATGTGATCATGGGATCATTGGAGGTTGATTGAGTTAAATGGAGAAGTGAAGAAGAGGAAGAAGAGTACAAGAGCAGAGGATAATTTCATTTCATTGCAGCTTAATCCAGTACAGTGTTCTTTATCTAAAAATGATTGGATTGCATTTCACTAAATGAAAAATATTCCTTGGTGCAGTAGTGGCCGTGATGCACTGAGCGCCTGCGCGGTTGCTGGCTCGGAGAGAGAGAGTGGAGTTTGTGGCCACATAATAATGTGATCATGAGATCATGAGAGATTGAGAGTGTTTGGGTGCTCATTAATTCTATCCGCAGAATTTTGGTGCACTATCAATTCTATCCTAAAGCAATTAATATATTTACCACGAAATTGCTAATTGAGAATTTCTAGTATTGCTCCCTGTAGCAGGTTGTCTTCTATCATAACCCTTATCCTTCTTTCAAGTCTTTTTTGGACATGTCTGGTTCTGCTATTTTATCTTCATACCGTTTTCGGAGTTGATTTTCATTTTAAAAAAAATTAGAGTACTCGTAGTTATGATTCCAAAAAAATTGTGTGAAGTCAGGTGTGGGCTATTTGCATATCTATTTTGTGTTTATCATGCTTGTCCCTTGAGCCAATGCGACCTAAAACGATAAGAATGTTGTAAATGCTTTATCAAATAAATATGTCCTATGGATATCTGCATAAATAGAAATCCATGTTTATTACGACCAATAATACTTATTGCCTGCACAGGTACTACTCCATGTATGGGCATGTTGAGAAGTTGGCTGAGGAGATTAAAAATGGTGCTGCCTCTGTTGAGGGAGTAGAAGCTAAGCTGTGGCAGGTAAGCTATCCAATTGATAAACTGATTTATCCACTGTTACTTGGAAGGAAGCTAAAACAAGAATTCAATCTCTGCGATTGAAGACAAAACACTAAATATGCCAAAGTCATCTCATTTTGACGCTGAATATTGAGCTATATCATTTGAACTCTTGTTGGTTGAGTAAAAGGCCTGTGATTCATTTGTTTTCTTTTTTTCTCTTGCATTGGCATTGAAATTGTAGTAACCATGCAATATCAGCTTCTAGCAAGTCTTTATTTATGGAGACTAAGGTTTTGTTTGGAGCATTTTAAACTACTATTTATTCTCTGCTTTGAAGAGATTTTTGCGTTAAAAAATAGCTTTACTAAACAGTAAGAAAGCCATCTCAAACGAAGTCTAAATATTTAAGTTATTGTTGTTTTATATGTCACTAACTTCAGTAAATTACATCTTTAATGAAAGTTTATCTTTTGAAGAGGTTGGTACTTTCATTCATGTTTTATAAAAATGAGTAACTGTTTTAGAAAATGCTAGTTGCTTGAACAAATCTTGGAACAAGTATTTGGACTTTTAGATAGTTATTTTTTTTTCTTTTTCTAACTACATATTGACTTACCTCTTCTAGCTGTTTATGATATTTCACATTGTTGGAATCTTTATTGTTAAAATCAAACATCCTTTTAAATGCCTGATAAAAAAATAGGTACTAACTAAATTTTCATGATATTTATGTATTCATTATAGAGTAAGAACAGCCATCTGTGTCTTGTTAAATTAGTTTATATCTGAAGGACAGGAAAATTCTTCGATGTCTCTGACCTTGCAATAAATAATTTAAAGAAAATATAATTTGTTCAATGTTCTGAGAAGAACCAACCACAGTGGCTCTACATTCTGTGGACAGGTACCTGAAACACTTCCCGAAGAGGTGCTCGCAAAAATGAGCGCTCCTCCAAAGAGTAATGTACCAATCATCACACCAAATGAACTTGCAGAAGCCGATGGTGTGCTCTTAGGTTTTCCAACCAGATTTGGCATGATGGCCGCACAGTTCAAAGCTTTTCTTGATGCCACTGGTGGGCTCTGGAGAGCACAGCAACTTGCAGGTAAGCCTGCAGGTATTTTCTACAGCACTGGATCCCAAGGTGGTGGACAAGAGACCACTCCGTAAGGCCTTGTTCTTCTGTCTCCAAAGCTTTGTTTATTTTCTTTTAATTGTTTCCTTAACGCTTTCAATGGGATATCTAGAATGAAACATGGTATTGATTAAAATTTTCAATGCTTCCCGTATATTGAGGTTTCATTTGGGATGACTTTCTTACTAGAAAACTATTTTAGAAAGAAACAAAAAAGTCGTCCGAAACGAAGTCTGAGATTCATAGTCATACATAAGACATTTATATCGTCTCTTTGTGTAGATTAACAGCAATCACTCAGCTGGCTCTCATGGAATGATCTTTGTTCCCATCGGCTACACCTTCGGCGCTGGTATGTTCGAGATGGAGAAGGTGAAGGGAGGAAGTCCTTACGGTGCCGGCACTTTTGCTGGCGATGGATCAAGAGCTCCAACCGAACTAGAACAAGAGATTGCTTTCCACCAAGGCAAATATTTTGCATTGATTGCAAAGAAGCTTAAAGGATCCGGTTAACCTGTGGGCCAAACCTTCCTCAGTAAACTTTTATTTATTTAGCTTCCACATGCCTTCCCGTATAAATTATCTTTTTCCATTCTATGTTGGGTAATGTAATAATTATGGATTATATATAAGCAAGCGATGAGCTTGATGCAGCGTATTTCATTTGTGTACAGCAGATGGCTGAGGTATTTTCTTATTAGGTGTACTGTTTGCTTGCTATGAGTGTGTATCATTGATGCCTTTTCCTCCGGCATAGATTGCCTCTTTGTTCTACTCTTGATACTGTTTCTTGATTTGGTAGTGGATTCTGAAAATGCTTGTTTGGGTGTTAGGCTATTTATTATGAAAATGCTGTCACACTCATGCCTAGATGTCCTGAATCTGGATTTAAAATTTTGAAAGTTGGCTTATGAGATTGCGCATGTGGCTCGCCGGTTGAGTGAAACCTTTCCTCGTGCGGCTCACGTTTGAATCAACTAACCGCCCCTTGAAAAGTTGGCTTATCCTTATGAGAGTGCTCAATCTTAGCAACGAAATATTTCTCCTCTATTGAGCGATCTAATTTCATTGGTGGTTCACAAATATATGTTGTGAAGGAGCTATAATAGATTTTGGAAATTATGGTAATCAAAATTGGTGTTGGTGAAAAATAGTGACGATAAGTTGACTTTTTATTTATTTATTATTGAAATGTATTTTTTTAATTGCACTCGAACATCATAAATGGCTCATAAATCAAATATATGTCCAGTAAGAATTTTAAAAATTATATATATATATATATATATATATATATATAAAGTGTCTTATATATATATATATATATAAATGGATGAATTATGTAAAATTTGATATGGTTTTTTGTAATCCATCCTCGTATAGGCTATGCTTGTAGTGAGGAGAAGCTAGTGTACTTAGTAGGCGCCTCGGCCTCCCCGTTGCTTTTGGAGGAGTTTTAACGGATTAAGTTTCATGGTAAATTTTCAAAAGGCGAATTGGGTTTGTAGATAAGACACTATCCAGAGATTTCATCCTCATTTTGCGAGGATTTTATGATCCGAGTTATTGTTTCATATAGGCGCAAACCCTTATAGTTAATTACCCCTCCTGATAATGATAGAGAAATTTTAATAAGGCTAGTCGTCGATTATATACGTAAAGAATACGTGTTATATGGCATATAATAGTAGCATGGGTTTTTGTTTTCGAGGCAATGATGGAATCCGTTTCGCGATTGGACATCGTTTGGACGATGTCGTGCAACAATTTCGGGTGTCGGTTGCCCCTTGGACCAATCTCATGCGATTTGACTTCGAGGGGTCTCCATTTAGTCGAATTAGAAGTCCTTATAGCAACAACGCAATCTGTTTGACAATCGAAGATTATTTGACCTTTCAAGTGATGTGTCGCATCTATCCGCGCGTTGCTTGTTTCGCCTATTTTGCTCCCTATGTGCATGGTTTTCTATATAGGGGTCAACAGTAGGCCAATGTGGGTGGCGGCGATAACAATGGGCGCCATGGTTGCAATGTGTAGGAAGTGGTGAGGAGGAGAATGATGATGATGATGGGAGGTTGATCTTACCTAATTTTATTTTGTGAGAATTTTGAGTGATAAATGACAAAGTATTTGTCTCGAACTTAACATATTTGTAGAAATTAATTTCTCCAATCATTATACCATAGATCCTTTCACACTTTGCATTCTTTAACTTTTATTTGCTCATTTGGAATAATTTGACATAAATACATTCTTAATGTTGTTAGGATTATTGTCTTATTGTCTTGATTATTTTATTATAACATAATAAAATTTGAGACCAAATGTGAATATAATGATTTTGCAATATGATTCATCTGAATGGAGATAAATTATGACTTTTTTTTTTGTCTGATTAATATTTAGTCTTTTGGATTGTAACTTATTATTCTAATATGATATTTAATTATTTAAAATAATCATAGCAGCTTATCTTGTATTATTTATTTCATTAATGAGGCATCCTTAGCTTTAAAAAAATTATTTAATTATTATAATTCTTATAAAAATTTGATAGATCTTGTAGTTCAACGAAGAAGAAGACCAGGCTTTATTCCCCCTTAAAACTCACACAACCTTTTCATTCTGCTAAATTATGGATTAAGAGTGTAAACGAGTCAAACCGACCTCGAGTCTTCTTTGGCTTGAGTTAGATCTATTAATTGAGTTCAAGCTCATGCTCGAGCTTAATTTTATGAGTTTGAGTCGGATTACGAGCTAGCTCATTTACAATAAAAGCGAGAAAATTATTAATTTTTATTCAAGTAGTTATTGTAGCAACATGATAAAAAAACATAATAAACTAATTAAATGCCAAATAAATAAAAACCACTTGAAATAAGAAAGAGAAATATAACTTTTAGAATCAGGCGAGCTCTAAAGCCCTTAGATTAAGCGGAGATTAATGCAATATATGATATTCATGAGCTACACTAATCTTAGAACAAGTTTAAGGATTTTCAAGCCCGTCTTAAAACAAAATGCACGATGATATCCTTATTAAAGTTTATTCCATTTAAATATTAAATGACATGTTAAATGGGTTGAGTGTCCAAAAATCTTTTCAACAAACACTCAAATTAATATTAGTGTATATTATGGTTACAAAAGGATGTAATTCATTGTAATTAGCTAGGGAAGGTGTGAAAAATAGATTTCATGGTGGAAGTTAGACGAGTCTTGAGATATGGTAGTTTTCTTCAAGAGATCATTTATAGTATGTTCAGTCATTCTCATTTAAGAAGAGGATATATGAGATCAAAAGTTCAGTCTGAATCTTAGTTTTAGACATCAGGAATTAAAGTTGGTGATGATTGTATGCATCGGTCTTATTGGCGATAGGATGTGTCGACATTATTAGTGCTGACAAACAAAAGTTGGTAGGTGTTAGTATTGGTTTTGATAACATACATTTGACTTATAAATGATGACATGCATTGATAGACACCGTCAACCTTATAGTTGATGGGATGCATCAATCTTATAGGAAATAATGTGTGTCGACATCGTTTGCAACGCCAAACTAAGTTGATTGGTTTTGGCTTTGTTAGACAATGGTCAATAGATTGTATTTAAGAAATGTATAGAAGGAGATTATAGTCGGGTAGCAATGACCGAGATACCATAGTTGAGAAATGGTATGTGATTAGAAGGCTATAATTGGATGATGATGATTGGAAAAAGGTAGTTGTGAAACTGTGGTTAGGTTAAAGTTGTCTACTGATGGTGGTTGAATGGTAGTGGTTAAGAGACTATAGTCAGGCGATGATACTCATCACGATAAGTAGTTGATGATGGATGTATAAATGTGGTTAAGAGATTGTAGTTGAGTGATGGTGGTTAAAACTCAAGAGATTGTAGTTGGGTTATTGATGTCGGTTGATGACAGATGGATGATTTAATCGACCATTCTTATTAGCAGTGATTGATGATGCCAAATGTTAGGTGAAACTTTAAGCTCTCTAAAAATTTAGTTCAAGGTCTTATCTCCGTTCTTCAAATGAAAAAAAAGTGAGTCTATTTATAGTTTTATTAAGTGAAATTTTAATAAATTTAGCTGATAACTCAAAATACTCCATCACAACATATGTGGATTTATTAGAGTGTAGATTATTCTTTCAACATTTAATTTCCTCAAATATCTCAAAATACTCCATCATAGTTGTATTTTCTCTTTCGGATGCTCAATTTGACTTTGTAAGCACACAAGATTTAAAAATTATTTGATTCTTTAATTAATATTTAGAAATTATTAATTACACTTTTAAGTGCTTGATTCAAACTCATTTAACTTGGATCGTGATATTTTTAATGTCGTTGGATTTGTCTTATTGATATGATCAGTTTAGCTACAATTTGCTAAAATTGAAGTCTAGCTAATCATAAATTTAATTATAAAAACTTTTAATTCAAATTCTTTATTGAGATCTTTTTTGAAATCTTTATCTAAACATGTGAATTTTATCGGTCTTAAAAATAAAAATATTGGCACATTACAACTGAAGATTATATCCATACCATCTCTTTCTCAAAAATTAATATATATTTTTTTATATTAACATACTTGTTTTTACATCTATAAATTTTATAATTAATACAATCAATATTAGCTTCAAAACTACAATAACACCTTATTTGTGATAATTTTTTTACTATTTTTAACAATAATTTTCTAGCATAATTTTTTTAAAAAATAGTAAAAAATAATGATAAAAACCTATCTAAAAAGAAACCTAAAAAGCTAGTTACAAAATGTAAAAAAAAAAAAAAAAAAAAAACATAGCAGCAAAAAGTATGTGATCCGACGTATTGGTATTGGAGCCTTCAGAATAGTTCTGAACTTCCGTGAATTTGCGTTTATCAACTATTGAGTTACCCCAAACTGTTCATCACCGTATTGCTTTAAACTTGAGAGATTATTCCTCAACTATACTTAGTGGAGTCTTGACGTAGAGTTGTGTCTGAATTATGAGTATACAATATGTATTTATTATGTATAAAAATATATATTGTATTTTTATACATAATATATACACACTATATACACTTATAGTCCAGACATAAAATTACGTCTGGATTACTCACGTAATAACTGTTAACTAATATGACTGAGTCTACAGAGGATTCAGATAATTATGTTGTATCGCAAGCTAAACTTAATCCACTTGTATCTATATATACGTGTATGAACCTTGTGTTAATACATATAGAAATACATTTCTTCCTCCGTCTCCTGTCCATGAACAGTTGTGAGTCTCAGTCCTTGTGGGTTTTCATGGTATTAAAGCACAGATAAGTATTTTCTCTTTTCTTTTTCTACTTCGTCTTCTTTGTTTCTTTTTATAGTTTCCTTTCTTTTTCGACTCGTCCTTCCTTCTTTCCCAGAGTCTGTATGGCTAGCTCATCCACTACTTCACCTGTTATAGACTCATCAAAGCCTCTTCATCCCATTGATATTCCGTCTCAACTGAAATTTGTTCTTAGCAATATCAAGAATCTTGTTTATACTTCCCTAACTTCCGATAATTATCCCTTATGGCGATCGCAAGTTGAGAAAATCTTCGTTGCAAATGGTTTTAAAGAATTTCTTAATCGCTCATACAAACCTCCACCTTGAACCAACACCACTGACTCTTCCCTCGATGCTTGGAATTTTCTTGATCAAAATCTTGCTGCAGCCTTATTGTCTATCATTGCACCATCTATTTTACCCTATGTTCTTTCTTTGAATCATTGTGCTGATATATGGGATACTTTAGCTCATTGGATGCAAACGTCTACCCGATCTTGTATCATTCAATTAAAGAATGAACTTCACCATCTCTCCAAAGGTGATCAATCTATGTCACATTGTTTACTCACTGTGAAATCCAAGGTCGACACAATCATATCTATGATGCAGGAAGCACTATTGATCCGAAAGATGTCATTATATACACATTGAATGGTCTACCCGCGACATACCAAGCCTTTAAATTCATACAGATTTGCAATCATTAACTCTTGATGACCTCTACACACTTCTTTGTAGTGAAGAAGTGAATCTTGCTCAATAAACATCCAAAGAACTTAAATCTCTTCATATATCTGAAAATTTGGTTGCTCTAGCAGCTACTCGAGGCCGTCGACGCGGTCGAAATAATTCTAATCGCGGTCGTTAATACACATGAAATATTCGCCCATCTGCTACATCCAACCGAAATGACAAATAGTCCAATAGAAGTATTTTCTGCCAAATCTGCACAATGCAAGGTCACTCGGCTCTGAAATGTTGGTATTGTCATGATCCCACATATCAAGAAAATCCATCCAAGCAAGCTTTCTTCAACCCGACTGAACAATCTCATCAAACAGATGGGTTTTTAGATAGTGGGGATTCTATACATCTCACTTCTGACCCTAAATTCTTCTCAACCAAACCTTACAATGGTAATTCCCAAGTCACGTTCGGTAATGGTCATCAACTACTAATACATCATATGGGTAAAGGGCTTCTTCCTACACCCTCAGGTAGTCTTCAACTCAACAATCTTCATAACGTCCCTAATTTATCATTTAACCTATTATTGGTTGATCAACTAACTCATGACAACTCTTGTGTTGTTTTGTTTTCTTCACGGGGTTATCAAATTCAGGATTTGAAGACAAAACGGATTCTCCTTTAGGGTCCATGTCATAATGGCCTCTACCCTATATCTTCCTCTACTCTGTCATCTATGTTGGCTTTACTCTCTGTTCAAACCATTCTAGATCTCTGGCATTGACGTCTTGGTCACCCGGACACATGTAAATTGCATTGCCTTGCTCGATTACATTCAAATATATGTTCCAATATTACTAAAAATTCATATAATAACTGTAATCTTGAAAAGAGTCATAGGTTGTCATTTTTGAAATCTATTTCTACTTCGTCCTCACCCTTCTAAATAGTTCATTCTGATGTTTGGGGTCCATCCCCTGCTATGTCATTACAAGGATTTTGTTACTATGTCTCTTTCATAGATGATTACAACAAATACTGCTGGTATATCCTGTCTCAGAAATATGAAGTTTTTTTTTCTAAATTTATTAAATGTAAATTTAGCAAGCATATAAAAATTCTTCGAACAAATGGGGGCGAAGAATACATCAAGAAACACTTTTAGCAATTTTGTAAACTCTCGGGTACGTGTCATCAATACACGCTCCCTTAAACACCATCACAAAATGGCATTGCCGAAAGAAAGAATGTCATATTTTGGAGACAATTCAAAGTTTTTTAGTTCATTCTAATACTCCTTAATGGTTGTGGGTTCATGCTCTTCACACTGCCATTCATATCATTAATCTCCTACCAACCCGAAAATTACACAACAAAACTTCATATGAATCTCTCTACACCAAAATACCTACCTACATTCATGTTAAATCTTTGGGTGTCTTTGCTATCCTTGACTCTGACCTTATGCTCAATCCAAACTAGATTCATTTTCAAAGCCCTATGTTTGTTGGCTATGCCCCCTCTCAAAAAGGATATCTATGTTTAGATCCCTTAACAAGAAAGATCTATACATCTCGACATGTTGTATTTAATGAGCAAGTTTTTCCTTATCATCAAAAGCAAGTTCTACTTACCAATTCCTCTTCATCCATTAATTTACCACTTCTTCTTGTAGTTCCCTCATCCATCATCAAAACACGACCTCAAATTCTATCTTATAATTCTAATTCTTCCATATCTTATACTCAAGCTTCCCCATCTCAATCTCTCCCTAGTTGCAGCCTTGTTCCTCAATCATCAAGCCAACACTCTCAGGATCCATCTCACAATACAAATGCTCCACCATATGTTAGTTCTCCATTCCCACTATTCCCAAACACCATATGACAACTCGCTCGTAAACTGGTAATCTCAAACCCAAACATATCTTCAATCTCACTCATCAAATTATTCCTCAAGACCTAACTTCTTACACTCAAGCCTTAAAACATCAACATTGGCGCTCAGCCATGTCACATGAATTCCAAGTTCTTCATTCTCAAGGAACTTGGGATCTACTTCCTTTCTCTCCAGCTCAAAATATTCTTAGGTGCAATTGGATGTTTCAAACAAAATACAACTTCGATGGCTCAATTGCCAGATATAAGCCTCAGTTAGTGGCTCTTGGATACAAGCAGGAATTCGTTCTGGGTTACACTGAAACCCTTAGTCCTGTTGTCAAGATACCAACATTCCTTATTTTGATTCTTCTAGCCCTCCATAAGAATTGGCCAACACATCAACTTGATATATCAAATGCTTTCCTACATTGCTCGCTCTAAGAAATTGTTTACTTGCACCAATCACCGAGGTTCATAGATGAAATTCATCCCAATCACGTTTGCAAACTAAATAAGGCTCTCTATGAGCTTACCAGGTTCTTACATAAACAAGCTAGGATTTCGTTTAAGCAATTCAGATCCTTCACTTATGATATACCAAAAATCTAATATGTAATTTTATTTTCTTATATATGTTGATGATCTCATAGTGACAGGTAACAATGTTGAAGCAATTCACCATCTACTCAACATTCTACACAAACTATTTAACATGAGACATCTCGGCACGTTGTCCCAATTTTTTGGCATAACGGCTATCCAAACAAATGAGGGGCTCCTTCATCAAAGTCGTTATGCTCAAACGATCTTACAACGTGCAGAAATGCTTCATTGTAAACCTGTCACCACGTCTATAATAGCTAAGTCACATAAAAGTTATGATTCCTCTAAACAGTTTTCTGATTCTTTATTATATTGACAAATTTTCGGCTCTCTTCAATACTTAACAAGACTTGATATAGCAATTGCAGTAAACAAAGCATGTCAATACACGCGTTAGTTAACTGACTCCAATTTTGAGGCACTCAAACTCATCCTTCGATACATCAAGGGCTCTATAAATATTGGTTTATCACTATCTCGAAACTCATTGATGCTAACCACTTATGTAGATTCAGACTGGGCTGGAGATCAAAAAGATCGAAAATCAACAACAGGTTATTGCACTTTTCTTGGGTCTTCACTTATTTTTTGGAGTGTCAAGAAGCAGAGTACAATTGCCAGATCATCTACCGAGGCCGAATATCGAGCTCTAGCAGTTGTCGCAGCTGATCTCATATGGACTCGTCAACTCCTCCAAGAACTCGGCTGTCCACCACCTGAACTAACCAAAATTTTTTGTGACAACATCTCAGCCTTTGCTTTGGCCAACAATCAGGTTTTCCACGCTCGCACCAAGCATTTCGAAGTAGATTATCACTGCATCCGCGAGTGCATCAAGAACAAAATAGTTCACGTTCATCACATCTCCACCAAAGATCAGATTGCAGATATCTTTACCAAAGCTCACCAATAGCTCGATTTCACCACATAGCCATCAAACTGACTTCAGCCTCTACCTCATCAGTCTGCAAGGGGGTGTTAACCAATATGACTGAGTCTAATGAGGATTCAGATAATTATGTTGTACCGCAAGCTTAACTTCATCCACTTGTATCTATATATACGTGTATGAACCCTGTGTTATTATATATAGAAATACATTTCTTCATTTCTCTTGTCTGTGAACTACTTTGAGTCTCGATCCTTGTGAGTTTTCAATAATTCCTCAACTTTACATCCACTTAAAAATTAATATACTTCAACAGCATTTTTTAATATATCACGTATAAAAATAGTTATTGACCAACAACTGCTTCTATATCACACCATTATCAGCTAAAATATTTAAAAATGTTTTTAAAGAATGTTGATTGAAAATACTTAATTCCTACATCAAGCTAAAAATATAACAATCTTTCTCGCTCATGGAATGCTTCTTTAATTTGTTTTTTTCATTAACTCGATCCCCTCTGATCTCTCCTTTCTCTTTTCTGATTGTTCTTGCGTTCATAACAGTGTTTGGAATTTACTTCTGCCTGTTGATACTTCTGTATGTTCTTGCAGATTTCCTCCTCAATTCTTCAAAACCTTATAGCAATCGCAACTCTTTAGCTACCTGTATGTTCCCTTAAAAGTTGGAGTCCAGAAATCGGAACTAATCTCACTGGCGACAGAGTAGGCACTCGCAATTGGAACCAGACACAGTCCTCGGCTTTTCAGGTCTTGCTCTTCATCATTTGAGTTGTCTGATCTCTTCTAAAAACAAGCCAAGCTAGAAAAATCAATCGTTTGCGTCATTACTTGTAAATATATTTCAGTACAGGCTGAGCGATTTTAAAATCGAGTAGATTATATTTAGATTTTAGAGCCTAATTTATGTCACATTAACAGAAGTTTATAAATTACTTTCAGCTGGCCTTATTTTTTTCAATAATTAGTTTTGACATATTAGAAAATAGATTTGTGAATTTATCATTATGATCATAGTAAAATATGTGATAATAGAATTTAGTCATCAACAACAACAACATCAAGTCTTTATCCTACTACATGGGGTCAGCTACATGAATCTTTTTTCTTCATTGTGTCATGTTAAAAGTAAAATTCTAGTTTAAATATAATAAAGAAAGATAATTTCAAAAATTTTCTAACTAAGTCTTTTTAGATCTATCTCTACCCTTTCTTAACATAAATCAAATCTAATGCATCTACTTTCCTAACCGGATCATTAGAAGACCGCCATTTTATGTGACCAAGCCATCTAAGACGACTCTCTCTAATTTTATCTTCTACTGAAGCTACTCCAACATTTTCATGTATATGCTCATTTTGTATTCCATCTCTAAGGATAAAGTCATTCATCCATCTGAGCATCCTCATCACTATAACACTTAACATAGTATAATGCTTCTCTTGTAATGTCCAACATTCGATACCATAAAGCATTGCAGGTCTAACCATCATCTTATAGAATTTTCTCTTAAATTTGAGGTGACTTTTCTATCACACAACAAGCCCGATGCATTCCTCCACTTCAACAATCCAATTTGAATTCTGCTATTTATATCACCATCTAATTTACCATCACTCTGATCAATAAATTCAATATATCTAAAATTTGTACTCTTATTAATGAATTGATCGCCCAAAGTCACATTAATCCCCTCACTAGCTCTATTACTATTAAAATTACACTCCATATATTGAATATAATTTAGACATCAATTAAATAAAATTGTATAAAATAAATTATATACTTATCTTTTTTAATTTAATTTTATTTATCCTTAATAATTTGGATTAAATCTGATCTAATTTCGAATAATCATGACTTATTAATACCTGACGTTGTTGCTTGAGCTTCCCATTCTTCAAATATGGAGTGCTTAAGACCTGTAACCACGCACACACACAAGTCAGATTTATTAAAATTTAGGCTTTGTTTGAGAAAACTTTTTTTGCTGCTTCTTAAAGTAACTTTTCAGCATAAAATTTTTAATTTTTATACTAAAAATCTGCTTTAAAAAACTGTAAAAAAGCCATCACAAACGAACTCTTAATCATGAAAGGAACAAATGAGTGACTTACATTAACTTGATCATAAAGAAACTTGATATACTCGTTTGCCTCATGGAGCACCGAGGCCGTATCAGTCTGTAAACAAAATTAAAAAAAAGGAAAAAAGATTATACATATATCTTATATTGTATGAGACAAATGTATACAATTGAATAATATAAACTAAGAGAAAGATGATATACCTTTCCAAAAGGTGAAACCAACTGCTGAAGAGCAGTGATTCTGTCCCCTAATTTCTCTTTCCTTACCTGCAAATCAAGCCACAGATCTTCTAAAGGCAAATCAATGCTTTCTTTACAAAAAAGATAGAACAAAATTAAATTTATGCTGCATCGAACAAAAGCAATGTTAGTCACACCCCACGAAGAAACTCGACAGCCCCACAGGAGTGTTTTTCGACTAAGATGTTCTTAATTACGGCACTCATGTAGATTAGATGATTATTAATCATCATTTGAGGGATTTGGGCTTCGTTGGGACGGCTTTCTTATTGTTACTTTAAACAGTTTTTTAGTATAAAAATTTTAATTTTTATACTAAAAAACTGCTTAAGAAGTAGTAAAAAAAGTCGAAGCCTCAAGCTATATTTGAGAGGATTTTAGTGTTTATAAAGTATGTTGTAAATTTATTATGAGAAAATAATTGACAAAGGCTTTATTTGAGATGACTTTCTTGTTGCTTTTTTACAAAGACTTTTTCGTATAAAATTTTTAACTTTTGTATTAAAAAATTATTTTAAGAAACAAAAAAAAAAAGCCATACCAAAGGAAGCCTAACTTTGTTGAAAAAAGAGCTTTTTACAATAAGAACTTCTGAAAATATGTATGTGAGAAAATAATAGTAAAAATAATTATGATGTGTGTCTGAAAATTAAAAAAAAACGAGAAAGTTGTTGCAAAAATAACCCTAAAAATAAGCATATTATATGCAAGAGTAGTACAGTATTTGAAGATCAGAATTGTTTTTGGTCTTTAAATAGAATAGTATAGCGTTATTCTGTATAAATAAATAGCGTATGTTAAATATATTTTAATTTTCTAAAGCATTGCTCTTCTTCCGATTTGATATCATCAAATTGCTGTTCAATATCTGTTGATTGAAATAGTTGTAAAAATCATTTATCAAAGAAAGAAATCCTTCTCGGATCAATAGACGTACTTTAAAAGCAGGCAATGGCGAAGGCGTCTCCTCCATTCGAGGCTTTTTCATCGTATATTCATATCTCGTCTTCTTTTCTTTAGCTGCTTCTGTGTTCTGTGTGCCAAAATGAAGCACAAAAATTATGAAAAACGAAAGATTTTTTTTTTTTCTTAAAGCCTTCATCCTTACCATAACAGTTTGATCACTGCAACCTGCGGGTTTCAGATCAAAAGGCTTCAATATTACATCATCACTAGAAGAACAAAAACCAGTCCTCATTTCATTCATTGCGGCATGATCAGAAGCATTCCAAAAATTTGAATTGCGTGTGAACTGAAGCTGGTTGATATCAGATTGCTTTTGAATCATTTGAGACTGGTAATTGGTCATCTGCTGGCTGTCAAAGAACGAAGAAGAAGAAGAAGTGAGAAGGAAGGTTCTTGTGACTCTGCTACAGTTTCCTGTCTCGAGAAGCAACGGGTCGTTCATGTCTCTGAAAGTAATTCCCGACGGTTCTTCTGTATCAGTCGCCGTTTCTTCAAGCATAGAATGAAAAGTACAGCTCTCAGCTCTTCCACTGCTATTACTACTGCATAATAAACATATCTAACTTGTTGAATTGATATATAGAGATGTACATGTACATATATCCATTTGGTAAGTTATGGTGTTGGCTTACAGTAGAGATTGGCTCCAATCCATTGGGGAAGAAGAGGAGAGGCTGAAGCTTGAGAAGTGTAGGCTAGAGTCCATGAATGACGTTGCTGTAACAGAGGCTACTGTTTTTGCGGAGGAGGATAGTGAAGATGATGCCGTTGGCGTATTACAGTTGAAGCTACTGGTCCTTGAAGTGTTCCACCAGTTACTAGATTGAGACTTTTCTTCCATGGTTCTGATCTCTCTCTCTCTCTCTCTCTCTCTCTCTCTCTCTCTCTCTCTCTCTCTCTTTCTGTGTCTGCCTCTTTGCTCGTATATATTCTGTCGTTTGCTTCTTCTTCTGGCCTTTAGCTGCTTGTGCTTCTGGTTTGGTTTTGTCGGAATTTTTTTTTTTGTGAAGGAATAGAGTGCTCTGGGTTTCAGAGCAGTTTTTCCCTTATATATATATATATATATATATATATATATATATATAATCAACTGCTGTACGAATTAGATGAAGTATTTTTTTTGGAAAAATTTGGGGCCTAAGCCCATTTCATTCCATTAAAAAGAATACATGAAACAAAAATTGACTACTACCACAACCTGCCAGTAGTAGTCAACAAAAACCTATAAGCATAAAAAGGCTACATAACAAAAATAAAACCTATTACAATCTATCAGCCTTAGCTGCAGAAATATAGAAAAAAACAGTAATTCTTTAGAAAGAACAAAGCCACTCAATGCCAACACGAGGCCGTGGAGACAGAACTGATGAGACAAAACTGACAGAAAGGTATCTGGATCGGTACCGCAAAAAAGAGCTCCCAAGCTTGTATAAAACATGGACTCAAATATAATATTTAGAGATCTTAGAGCATACACAGTTCTCTGGTTGCCCTTAGGCCGTCCAAGGGAACCAAAATTCGGGAGCATCATCATCGTCCAGGAAGGCTTCAGTAGACGAATAGGGTCGATTGCAGCGTCTGGGCCAAGAGATAGAAATAGAACCAGGCAAGAGGATACCCGCCTGCTTACAATAATTCCACTAGTTCCAATGAATTCTCCCATTTTACTGCTTTCTCACATATGTTTCTTTTTATGTCATACAGCAGAGAAGTATAGCAATTAAAAGAGTTTCCAAACCTCCTACCATTCCTCTCTTTCCAAATATGATAAATAGCACAACAAACAGTCACAAAAAAGAAGTTTTTGACCTTCACATTGCCTTGATAATGAACTTTTACCCAATCAAAACCTACATTATAGAGGGCCTGAGAAGAAAGCTTTTCATTCCAGAAAATAAAGTAGTAAGTATAGAGAATGTGTAAGAGCACTCAAAGAACAAATGAGAGACGGATTCATTATAATAGTGGCACAGGCTGCATGTACCATGAACCATAATATTTCTCAATTGAAGGGCATCAGCAGTCTTTAAACCATCAACTAGAGCCAACCAAACGAATACTGAATGCTTTAAGATGTTTCTTTTAGCCCACACCATTTTATGCCAGGAGCAAGACTGAATATCAGAAAAAAATTCCTCAATGAAGCTTTTAAATTTATAAATGCTCCGGTTTTTCCATAACAGACAAGGTCCGGCTTCCCCAATAGAATTAATACCAGCAACCATATTTCTCAAATTCAGAGGAATGGATTCAGGAAGAACCCACTGTGATCCAGAAATTAAATCTTTCAATAAAAATTCAGGGCAATAATCCATAGAAGAACCCCCTAAATACTCAAAGATAGTAACATTATGAAACCAATGATCCCAAATAAATGAGATAGGGGCATTCTGGGTGATTTTGAAATTAAAGCAATGTTTATATAATTTCAACTTCAGTCTTACATATAGTTTTCCAAAGTTTAGATGTCAAATTCGGAGGGGGGCTCCAGAGGGATTTATAGTGATAAAGAAGCCAAGTGGAGGGAGGCGAGGGGCAGTTGTACATCCTGAATATTACAGAACAATTATAAGCAAATTGCATAGCATAGAAGGAAGGGATGCCAAGACCTCCCTTGTTTTTAGGTCTGCATATTTTATCCCAAGATACCATATGTAGCTTTTTAGCAGTCATAGAATCACCAAAAAACAAAAACCTAGTATTGGTTTTTTTGATAAATTTGTAAACAGATTTTGGTAAAATGGAGCCCCTAATCCAATATGCTATGATATTTTGGATAGTGAATTTGATGTATTGTAGTCTACCAGCAAAAGACAAGAGGTTGGCCTTCCAACCATTCATTTTCTTATTTACATTGTCCATTAAAGGCAAATAATCTTCTATTTTCAGTTTATAGAAAGATAATGGGATGCCAAGATAGGTGATTTTGTTGATAATGTTGTGTATTGATAGAGCTTGACAGATATCCTGGACATTTCTCTGATTTCTGGGAAACATTATAGCACTTTTTTCATAATTAACATGAAGCCCCGTTGAATTAGCAAAATCCCGAAGAATGATGGCCAAAATATTGCAATTCTCAATAGTGGCCTCCCCAAAAATTAACACATCATATGCGTATAACAGATGAGTAAGAGAGTACTTATCAAAAGAGATTCCTCTAAAACCTCTACTCTCCAAAAGGTTGGAGAAAGCATCCATAACTAAGCAGAATAAATAGGGACTGAGAGGACAGCCCTGTAGTGGCAGAAAAATAGCCCTCTAGAGCCCCATTTAGCAACAACAACAACAACAACATCAAGCCTTTATCCCACTACGTGAGGTCGGCTACATGAATCCTTTTTCTCCATTGTGTCCTATTAAAAGTCAAATTCTCGTTTAAATCTAATAAAGAAAGGTCATTCCTAATATTTTCTAACCAAGTCTTTTTAGGTCTACCCCTACCTTTCTTAACATAAGTCAAATCTAATACCTCTACTCTCCTAACCGGGTCATCGCAAGGCCGCCGTTTTATGTGACCAAACCATCGAAGGCGACTTTCTCTAATCTTATCTTCTACTGGAGCTACTCCAACCTTTTCACGTATATGCTCATTTCGTATCCTATCTCTAAGGGTAAAGCCACTCATCCACCTGAGCATCCTCATCTCTGCCACACTTAACTTAGTATTATGCTTCTCTTTTAAAGGCCAACATTCGGCACCATAAAGCATTGCAGGCCTCACTACCATCTTATAGAATTTTCCCTTAAGTTTGAGGGGTACATTTCTATCACATAACAAGCCCGATGCATTCCTCCACTTCAACCATCCAACTTGAATTCTGCTGATAATATCCCCATCTATTTCACCATCACTCTGAACAATATATCCAAGATATCTAAAACGTGTACTCTTATTAATGACTTGATCGCCCAAAGTCACAATCCACTCACCATCACTCTAGAACAATAGAGCCCCATTTAGCAAAATAGAAAAATTTACATCAGTTATACATGCTTTAATCCAATTTATAAAAAGATTAGGAAAATCTTTTTGGACTAGTCTAGCAAGCAAGAGATCACGGCTAACAGTGTCAAAAGCCTTTTTATGTCTAGTTTAGCACATAAAATATTGCCTCCCCTACTCTTACCAGCAAAAGAGAGGATATCACTAGCTAGCAGTATATTGTCAGTGGATACTCTAGATTTGACAAAGCCCGCTTGATTATCCATGACAATCAAATTCATCACCGGTTTTAGTCTTTCCGCAAGCACCTTGGCAACAATTTTGTAGATAGCATTACATAGAGTAATTGGTCTGTAATCTGATATAGCAGTGGCTTTTTTGTGTTTGGAAATAATAGCCAAAGCAGTAGCTTTGACACCATTAGGCATGTAACATTTTTGAAAAAAAGACTTAATTGCCCTACAAACAAAGGGACTAATAATATGCCAAGCAGACTTATAAAAAAAGAAATCGAAACCATCAGGGCCCCGGTGCAAAATTGGAGGATCCCGAAAAAAACAACATTTTTTACTTCCTCATCCAGCACTAATGAAGAGAGATGGTGTGCATCACTTTGAGGTAAAATGACCCCAACAGGAAAACAATCCAGATCCAAATTTGGAGGAGGGAGTGGATTGTAAAGACCTTGAAAAAATTGAATAAGGGAATTTACCACTTCAGATCTAGTAGAGGCTGGATTATTAGCAAGAAGATTAACCAAAGAGTTAGAAGAGCCTCTTCTGGTTCTTATTTTAACATATAAGAATTTTAAGTTCTCCTCCCCATTTCTAATCCAGTTCACTTTAGCTCGCTGAATAATCCAAGAGGCTGTTGACCTCAATTTTGTATGAGGTCACTTGGACCAATCCTGACCATAGATTAATTTCCAAATCAATTCAAACTCTAGGCCCTAGGATCCTTCTAGATTTCAGACCTTAGGTTCTATTCTAGACCTTAAGACCCTTCTAGGAGTCAGACTTTAGGATCTACCTAGATCATAAATCAATCCAGACATATGATCAATCAAATCCAAAATCCAACTCAAATCCATTTCAAAATTAAAGTTTGAATTTAATATTCCCAAAAATAATTAAATATTTTCAAAATTAATTATATATATTTAAATATACTTTTCAATCAAAACAGAGGCATACATGGAATTGAATTTAGCTAACTCCACATTTAACTCCTTTAAAGAGAGATTATAACTGAATTATTAGAATCATCCTGCAACTTTCCCAACAAAATCTCTTGTTCCTTATTCAAGACATCCAAATGCCTAGTAATACAAGAGGATGATGACCACGCCTCTTTTTTAACCGCACCTTTAATCTGCTTCAAGGTTTTACTGAAGTGAGAGGGTTCCCAGTACAGGGAGTGGAAAAAGCCTCAAGAAGAAGTGCCCAGTAGTTGTCTAATTTAGACCAGTAGTTTTTGAAAATGAAGCGGTGGTTCACTTGAACATTCATGCCAGAGTGTAAAATGATAGGACAATGGTCCGAGCAAGATGGACTTTGAAATGAGCAGTAAAAATCAGCAAACATATTCAACCATCCCTCGTTCGCTAAAACACGATCAAGTTTTATATGAATAGGATTAATAGTGCGTTGATTAAACCATGTGAAGTAAGTTCAACATTTTTTTAATCTTTTGGCTCAGAGATGAAGGACAAATTAATGTTTAAAACTGAAACACAATATTTAAATAAAAGCAGAAAAAATCTATAAAAAGCGAACCTATCATATGATCTTATTCTATTTGGTGAGCTAAAGGTAAGAAACTTGTGATGGGTTTGAAAAAAAAAAAATTAATGTCATTGTTTTAAATTACATATTTTATAATTTTTTATTTATTATTTTCAAATTTAAAAAATGGGAAAATTTTGATGCAGATAT